GAGATATGCACCTCTGGACCCACTCTCTGGCCTCATGAGGGCAAGCAAGAATACTTCAAAAGTTTGCATTGTACACCTTATCTTCAGTACATCTGCTTTTTATTTTAAGAAAAAACATACATTGTGTTATGCAAACTGCAAACCAGAGATCCTTCAGTCCCATAAATGTCCGTTCTCATTTTTCCCGAGTCTCTCATGCTAGAAAGAAAGGAGTCTACTCTCTTCCCCCTGGCCATTTATCTCACTCCCTTTTCAGGACACAGACCTCAGAGTTAGTGGGAAATCCTAGAGGTCCAAAGGGCACCAGATCAGCTAAAACCAGGCAGATGCTGCAGCAAAGAAGTTCCTAAGATGAGAAGGCCTGTCTAGAATCACAGTCTGATGGAAAAACTTTGCAGCTGGCTGGACGTCAGCAGAGGGAGGGAGCCTGAGGGATGCCCACATTGGAAAACCCTCTCTTGTGGCTAAGGGAGGTCTGGACTTTTCCATTCTGAGGATGGATGGTGCCTCTGTGACACCCTCAGCCCCAGTGTGAGTGTCATCCCACAGCAAAACGCTTGTAGGAGGCTCAGCATGCCACAACATGTGACCATAATTTACTGTATGAGAATCACGATGGGTAAGTGACATTTAGCAACCACCTTTCCTTATTTCTCCTCAAAGATAAACTTAGAGTTTTCTTTGCCTTATTTCCCCCACCCCCTTCTCCTTCGCTAAATGTTCAGAGTCCCTTTGCAGTCTGTGCTGGTGTTCTCCTGTCCAGCTCCTCCGGGAAGGGAGCAGCAGGGACTGTACTGCTGCAGGGCAGTCTGGGTTGCCCTCTGTGTTACACTCCTCCTTTCAACCTGGCAACAGTGCTTGGGCAAAAATTACCTTCCCAGGTGCTTACCTTCTTCCCCTGCAGGCCCACAACCACCCCACTGTACCACTGCAGATTTTCTAAATCAAGCCATTTGTAATTAAAAAATAAAATATTTACAGCAAACACAGATGGTTACTGCCATGTGTTAGTGTTAAACTGAGCTGAATCACACCCAGAGCAGCAGATGAAGGTAAAGATTTCATAGAGACTGGTAATGACTCACAAGTGCCATCATTTTTACTTTTTTTTGGAGCAGAACCTCACTTTCATTATCTTCTTTCTGACATTTTAAGGGTAGCAAATTAAAAAAGCAGGCATAAAGAAAAGTCTTATAGAGAAGTATACAGATGTATAATTTGTGAAGAACTATGTGAAATGTAAGACCGCACGTGAAATGAATCAGTGTCTTTGGAGGTGTGAGGCTTGGTTTAAGCTGCATAAAACCAAAAAAAGAATATTATGAAACTGCTCATTTATTTAATTTCTTTCAAAGATGACAGGCTGTGTATTTTATTGGGAACAGCCATGGCTGCTTTCTGCAGTTTTCCTGCTTTAGGGTCTGCCCCAGTAACCAGGGAAGTCAGCTCTGCAGTCCAGGACTTTCCATCAAGGATCTTTCAGGAGAGGGACAGAACTGACAGAGGGAAACAAAAACATCTTACACAACTGTGGCATTTGCCAGAATCCATCTGGCAAAGCCCTCCATGTGCTTCTCAAGGCTCACTGTACAGGGAGTCCTTGACTGTTGATGCTCTTGACTCCTTGAAGTACCATATATTTCAAATTAATTATTCATGTTTCATTATAAAATAAGCTTTCAACTGCTTTTTAGTCCTGTTAGCCTACAATGCCTCAGTCAAAGGAGCAGGATTCTGTTCCTTCTTGTGGGAGCCGTTATTTGCATTGCTTCCTAAATCTCAACTTGATGACTAATCGGTTGCAACTGAGCAAACCCAGTGAAAATAAAAGAGCCTGCAGAGGTGTCACCAAGAGTTTAATTAAGCTTTCAGATCCTTTACTACCAATAACCTCGTTGCATAACTAAAGGAAAGACACGCAGAGTCTGATTCTCCATCTGGCTTGCAAAAGGGGAAATCACACAGAAGTTTTCTTTGTAAATATAGCACATTTAAGAGATGTTAACTCACATACAAAAGCAGAATTCCCAACCCCATTATTACAGAACCACTTTTTCAGAAGAGATTCATATATTGAAGTCAATATTGCAAAACAAATTGTTTCACAGGACTTATAAAGGAAGATGGGTTTCTCAGGGAAAAATGTAAGCCAGCGCTAATTAGACTCAAAAGCATGATGACAAGCAGATCATGATTTTCACATCACTAGACATTTCCCAGCATTTCCATTAATTACATTTGGGGTGATGAGAAAACTAAAACCTGGAGAATACATGCAGGCTAGCACTATTGATGGAGTGGGAGATGGTGTTTTCAGAATGTCTCCTGAGAGCTTCCTCCACGAATATGCGGCATAATTGTTTTGCATTCTTACAATAATTAGACTGTGTAAACAATGCTAGCAACACAGAGAAGATGGTAAACATGCCTGACTTTCATTTGCACTGAAAGCCAGCTACTGGTAGGTAAAATGGACAATATGCAAGGATTACCCAAACTCCAAATTTACATTAGAATCAATCAAGGCAGTAGCTCCCACTCTTTCCTCATTGTTTCCAGAATCTAGTACACACTCCAAAAGGACAGAGCCCATATCCTGAAACTGAGAAAAACATGGAAAACAGTATACTTTTATGAAGAGAAATGTTACATTCACCTCTCCAACCACCACATTTTCAGCTATGATCCAAGTTGCACTGAAGCTAATTAAAAGTTTCACATTAGCTTCAGTGAGATCTGGATCAGATCTGAGGCAGCTAAAATCACTATACTGTTCTGATTCTAATTATATTTACAAGAAAGATTCTAATTTTATTTACAAGAAAATCTATGTAACACTAATTTCAAATGTTGTTAAATGTCAAGGAATTATTAAGTTAAAGGAAATGAGAAAATCAGTGACAGAAACCAACTCAATTCGCCCTAGAGCTATTGGAAGAGAAGGAAGTACCATGAACTTGTCTTATTTTTATAAAACTATAGATGTTTCTGCAGAAAACAAACCAAGCTAGGTAATCCTGGAAATGGGGAAATGAATCCCACACAACTTCCCTTAGTCATCACATGCTGTAAGTCCAGCTGGTGCCAAAACCGTGACGCTTTGCGGAACATGACCAGAAAAAGCAGCAGTGAAAACAGATACAAAGCTCGTAGTGGCACTACCAGATAAAGATACATTCAAAAGTCGGGCTAGAATGCCCAAGGTAATTAACTCAAGTATTAAAAAAAAAAAAAAAAAACAATCTAGACAAAGTAACTTAAGCACCGCTCAAATTCAGAGGTTTGAACAGCTGACACTAACTTGAATTAAACCAAGTTATCTTATCTTTGCTGACAGTTTAAGTCCAATTAGCCAATTCAGGTTAATAAGCCACAGATGGAGATCTATCAGAAGCTAACTCTCAGCTTATGTGTCCAAACATCCTACAAAAATTTTCATGGAAAAGGGCATTCTATTTGAGAAGATCCATAGCCATTATGCTACAAGAAAGAGACTAACTCGGCAGGATCAGTTTTATCTGGAGAGGTGAAGGGTGGATATAAGGAGATATAAAATTCAGTTACCTCTTGAGAAGAGCATAAGTTGCTATAATAACTGCACTTCTACTACATAAAGCAGCTGTAATATGTTTTGTAAGCTTCATTTCACTTGCTGACTGTTTTGGGAGTCTGCTGAGTTCTCAACATTTCAAAGTGTCAAAATCACATTCAGATCATAGGAAAAAAAAAGAAGCATCAAGAGAAAAAAGGGACAAGAAGAAAAGGAAACAAGGGGGTGGGAAGACAAACTTGCATGCAAACTTGCATATATGCATGTTTTCGTGTCTCTATCAAGTTAATAAATAAAGCATACATAACAAATTATCAGGTTCAAGGATAAACTCCCATCTCACACGGGCTGGGTTTTAATCTAAATGCTCAGAGGAAGGAGCTAGAAACTTTTTACACTATTGCAAGGCATTGGGATTTTTTGTTGTCTTTGTTCTTTTTTGAGAAAGGAAACATTTTAGTATTTGGTGCAGCAAAAGTTTCAATTTATGGGGTTGTTCTCAAATACTGTGTCTCACAATCTGAAAAGTGCTCCATTAGCTCAAACCAGTGGCCCGTCCAGTCGTGCTGACATTGCATACTGAATGTACCCTGAGGAAGGCAGAAAATAATGCTGCACGGAGAAAAGTTATGGAGTAGTTCTCCTATAAATACCTGCTCCTTTATTTAACAGAAGCAAACACAGTTATTTAACAGAAGCAAACACAACTGATATAACTACAGAAGCCAGGGGATGCAAGAGCACAGCCAGCACTCTTCCCGAGAGAGGTCTGGCACCACAGACCTGTCACAGCATCTCCATCTGACACAAGAGCCCTCCCCACTCTGAGCCCCTGCCTGTAACCCGTGTACCTCCAGTTGTGATTTCCCAGCTGCGGGAAGATTCAACAGCCTCAAGTGTGTTTTAACACACAGTTGTGCAATGGTTTAAAACCCTTACGCTGCATTCTATTTACTTTTCTTTGCAGAGCATCAGTGTGCTCTGAGCAGCCCATAAGCATTCGCTCCGAGTGAAGTACTCTCATGCTGACTGTTAAGAGTGCAAGTTACTTCAAATCGTCCGTTTTTACGGCGGCACAGAGGACAGCGTGCCTGCCTTTCCGGGCGGCAAGCGCTGACTTGGCACTCGGACTGCAGAGCGGCCCCGGTACCGCGGCGTCGCCCAGCCTGGGAAGGGGCAGGGGCGGCGGGACCCGGCGCAGCAGCGGGACCGGCTCTCCGGGCCGCGGCACCCCCTGCTCTGCTTCCCAAAGCAACCCGCTTCCCAGCGATTCCGCTTCACCAGCCTCCTCTACAACACAGAACTGTGGGGACGAAGGGGCTCCTCTTTAATCCAAAAAACAGGCAATTAAAGGAGCACGGCGAAATGACCACCCCAACTCCAGACCTTCGGGGATCTGTCTCCCCTCCCAAAGCCCTCGCCTCAATCCCACGGCCGACAGGCATCGTACCTTCCTTCCTCCGCCAGTCTTCCGTCCCTATTTTCCAGCCCAAACGCCCCCGAAAGCTTTCCCCGCTTTCCCGCAAGGACCCGGGCAGGAACTTTCACCGCCGCCGCCCCACGTCCCCTCAGCCGGGGCGCCGCGCCGCCAGCTCGCCCCCTCCTCCCGAAACGAGCCCCAGTGGCGGCCGGTCGGAGCCGGGTCCTGCGGGGACGGGGCTGAGGGAAGGGCAAGGCGCACTCACCCTGGCAGTGGCAGCAGGCGCCCGCCGCGGGGTGGAGCGGGGGCGGCGCGGCGGCCGGCATAGCGCGGGGGCTGGGCTCGGCTCCGGCCAGGGGCTGCCCGCACCGCACCGCACCGCACCGCACCGCACCGCACCGCACCGCACCGCACCGCACCGCACCGCACCGCACCGCACGCTGCCGCCGGCGAGGGCAGCCACGGAGCGGCAGGGAGGGAGGGAGGGAGGGGACCCGGCGGGGAGGCGGGGCCGCGCACCGGCCACACCGGCGGTCACACCCCCGCAGCCCTCCCCGGGCTGCCCGCCCTCCCCGGGGCTGCCCTGCCGGCGGCACCGCCCCGCCGCCTCTCGCCGCCCCCCGGCCCGGCCCGGCCGCGGTGTCCCCGTGTGCCCCCGGCCGGGCGCGGGTGTTGGTTAGGGGCCCGGGGGCTCCGCGCGTTCCCGCGGGTGTCCCCGGGTGGTGGCATGTGGGGCATTGCTCCCAGCCCGCTCATCAGTGAAAACGCTTTTATTGTCGCCCTGTAGGTGCCAAGTAGACTTGGTAAATCATTCACAGAATCACAGAATATGCTGAGTTGGAAGGGATCCTCAAGTATCATCGAGTCCAGCACCTGGCCCTGCACAGGACCCCCAAGAGTCACACCATGTGCCCGAGAGCATTGTCCAAGCACCCTTCAACTCTGTCAGGCTGGTGCCGTGACCACTTCCCTGGGGAGCCTGTTCCAGTGCCCAACCACCCTCTGGTGGAAGAACCTTTTCCTGTTACCCAACCTAAACCTTCCCTGATATAACTTCAATTTTGCTTGGATTAAAAAAGACAAGCACTAAGCAATGTAAATAAAGTGCATGCTGGATGCATGAAGAACTGTTTGCCCAACATGTATGCAAAATATGAGAAAGGAGTTTGTTTCATCCAGACAGCCCATGGAATGCTGGCTACATGGCCAGCACACCTGAAAAATATGCAAGTGAAGTGTGAAGTGATGAGCCACAAAACTGATTTAAGGGTTGTGAAAATAGAGGTTGGTCCCCATACCATGCTACAAAAGGAGATGCAATTTGGTAACAACACATACATACCTTCACAGGGGAAAATACTGCCTGGAAGTTGAAGGTAGGTAAATTCAAATAAGAAATGTTATTGATGGGAGTGAATAATCGCTGGCACAAATTGTGGAGGGAAGTTGTATTTTATTCTTTGGAAATCTCCTAGTAACACAAGATGTCTCTGTGGGAAATAATATGTAAATACTGTATAAATAACTGGTAAATACAGTATCCCAACAAAGAATTCGGACTTACAGGCAAAATTTAGTGGCCTGAGATATCCAGTAGGTCAGACTAAAATATGTTATGTCATTCTGGCCTCAAACTGTATGAACATGACAAAGCAGAACATGCTAAATGTTTATCTTATACTCTTATTTTGCCATTTACTGAAAGTATTGTCAAGCTGCCCTTTTTAACAGCTTGTCTTCTATGATTTTGCTTCCAGGGTATTTCATCATTTTGGGGGCAACAGAGTCTAACACAAACACCTATGTAAAAATAGATCTTGAACGATATTTTCCCTGAAACATATTTCACTGTGCTTATAAAGAAATGGGTATAAAGCTGAAATATCTTTACTCATTCTTTGACATGGAGAATTAGCATTTGGCTAGAGTATGTGGTGAGTGAAACTATGTAAAATAAAAGCATAGACAAAAGCTGTCTAATAAACAAGTCAAAACTCAGGTTGCAAAAACCCTGCAATACATAATTCCAAAAAGGCAGTATAAATTCACCATCTTTTGAAATCTTCGTATTTGCTTAAAATCTCAGAAACTTTCAAATTCCATATTTATTTTCTTATTTTTGCCTTACTCTTTTATCTAGAGCTTACTGCTTGCTCCAGTCCTGCAGTCATCATTATGTTTGCCCTATGTGCCAAAGTTAGTTTTGAACAACAGATCTTCAGTATTAGAACTGCCTGAAGGAGCATAACTCAGGTGTTGCTTTTCAGTCATTTTCACACCTGCAGTTTGTGTTGTGTAACAGGTCACCTCTTCTGACACACTCATGCCCATGTGAAATCTTGGCTTCAGTAAAGGCAACGGCAGGTGTCTTCTGCTATTCTCCATCTTTCACCCGGTCCTTTAAGCAGTGTTACAAATAATTTCTGCAGTTGTTGGCATCTCAGTTATTAATCCTGTCTTAAGAAATCAGGGAATATGTTCAGTTCCTGCCTCTGGGACTCTTCCAGCAAGTCATTCCACTTTTCTGTGTGTGACCTTTTCAATGGGAAATGTCAATAACATCAGTTAAAGGGATTTGCTGTTTATAGATGCAAAATCCTTAGAACAGCTAAGTATCACTCTGCAGTTGGCTTCCAAAACAAGAATGTAACATGACCCACAAATAAACACTAGATCAGTGGTACCCTCATTTCTTATCCTAAAATGAAAAACAGATGAGGAGTGAATACGGACTTCTGAAGACACCTCATTTCTACTTGCCTCTGGAAAATTGTCATCTCTGCCTGCATCATCAGTTAGTGAAGTGGTTTTTCCTTTAATCCACTTTTTAACCAGCCAGTGACCTCAACCACTCCATTCCTCTGTTAAACTATCTGCTACTTCCTTGCCATTTCTTAGTAAGTATAAACATGAACCATGAGATTTGCTTCTCAATGATACCTTTTTAACCTGTAAGAAAGCTGAATTTCACAGACAAATCAGCAGGAAGTTGTCAAATACATGTCTCTGTGTTTTGCACACCAGCTCATACATAGTATTTACAGATGGCTATGACTGAAAACAGGTACACCCTTGGAAGAGGGATGTCTAGTCTCTTTTAGTAAGAAATACTGCTTTCTTTTGGTCTTGTCCTAAAATCAGCAATTTTTTTATGCCTTAGAAAATGCTTATTTGTCTCCCTTTTCTCCTCCCTTGAGACCAGGATTCTGCTGGCACCTGTTCTGTTTCAAGGGCTGTACTTAAATTAAAGGAGATATGTAAAACAAAATTTCCACCTGATCTTCTTGAGGAATTATTCTCTCTAGATGATCGTGCTTGGAAATTGCACTTTATTTGTTTTTTGTCATATTCTTAAAAATATATCACTAAAAACAAATCCACATTTTTTCATGGTGGACCTATTAGCTCATACTCCAGATAGGATCATCCCTTCTGCTATCACAACACATTGCTTTGAAAGTGATAAATCACCTATACAAACCATAGAATTGCTTTGTGACAAGAAAAAATCAGCTACTTTAAACTTAATCAGTTTATTTACAAAGTCTGATGAGAGCTGTCTTCCAAATGTCCTGAAATCTAATCTAGGATATTGAATAAATCAGCATAGAAATATCAGTTTCATAATGTGGTTTCAATAACAAAACTGTTAGTCTATAATTTTTATGTGAAAGTCATTCATACACAGTGGTTTTCCAGCTTGCTAATAGTCCCTGAGGTGGCAAATTAGGCTTGAAGTCCTGGAGCCTAGTGCTATAATGTAATTTTTCTGTAGTCTAGAAAGAAAAGTATGTCTGTTGTTTTCAGACAAATATGAATATCCCATGTCACTGGGATATTCCAAACACCCAGGAGCCAGTGGTTGCTTGGGGCACATTAAACTTTGTCACATCGTGTGGTGTAAAGCAGCTTGTGTAAAACTGACACAGAGGCTGAAATACAGAGGCTGAAATGCTGTGACAAGCAACCTGACACTGCTGCTTCTGGGAGAACTATCAGGGATTATTTCATATTTGCAAAAAATACCTATATTATAAATAAGACAGCAGTTAATATGGCTCCTTTTAAAGAAAAAAATGAAACCCAGTGCATTTAATATAAGAATGAAAGCCAAAAAAACCCTTGACCTTTACAGAGGACTAAAAATAATACTGAGTTCTCTCTAAACCACATTTCTATCTCATCTTCTATGGCTTGAGTATATGAAGTACAAGGGGCAAAAGATGAAGGAATTAATCTGAATGAAGGTGATGGTAGCTAACAGTCTGCTGCTGTTAGAGCTCCATGAGCTAATATTTCAGACCTCTTCAAAAAGAAATCAAAACCCATCAGTTAAATACCAAAAATGACAGGCATTATTCAAATCACAAAAAACAAATGCCAAGCTATATGTGAACAACACAGGATTTACCCTCCACTGTCAAAAATAAATTAAAGAAAAATCAAAGAGTTTACATCCATGCTACTCCTTAAATGTCATGAAGGAAAGAGTTCCCAATAGAAACCAAATTCTAATACCAGAGTGGAATCAAGACAATGTATAATTTTGCCAGAACAGTGATATTATGGGCATTTACATAACAACAGCGCTGAACAAATTCACAAGATCAAATTTAAAAACTCAGGATCCAAAGCTTCCTTGGCCACAGTCAGCAGGCCAGCAGATATCCAAAGTGAAAATCAGACTTCGGCAACATATTATCTAACCAAGAAAGAAGATAATGAACGTAATTGACTACTTCTTTCCTGAATTAACTTTTTATTTAAAGGGCATATTTAGAAAAGAGCATTTTATTCTCACCAAAGTAAGGTCTGTTATCTTCTTCTAGCATACTGCCTTATTTCAGCTTCTAAGTCATGAAAATACTTAATCAGTGTCAAATTCAGATAATTAGAAACTGCAATGGAAAAGGGCATTGATAACAGGTGTATTATAAATGGCAATGTTTTGATGATGTGGGATAATTTTCCATTACCTGTTTTAGAAAGTTTTCATGTATTAAAGAGACACTCATTGGAATCAAATTAGTAGAAATTGTGACCTCCTGACATCCCCTGACACTCCAGATTTCAGCTTTACCTGTGCTAA